ACTGATTCTGGCAGGGTTTAGTGTACTGTATAACATACTAAAAGTTTACCAAAGTAAGACCCCCGGAAAAGTGTTTTTTCAAGATGGCGCCAAAATGACCACTGAAACGTCTTAAAATAATCATAACTATGGAACTAACGGTGATATATTCAAAAGTTTTTTTTTTAAATCGGATAATAATTGTGACCTCTAGAGGAAGCTAAAAACGCGATTTTTTTATACGCCCAAATTTTCATGTGGACGTATATAGTCGTCGCCCCTGTCCGTCCGTCCACAATTGTTTGTGGACACTCTACAGGTCACAATTCTTATCCAAAAGATCTCGGCTGCTTTCGATATTGGCATGTATCGGATCGAAACTTCTTGGATTATGGCCCCTGTTTGTACGAAAAATCACGTTTTTAGCTTGTGGACCCTATAGAGGTCACAATTTTTATCCGATTTTGTTGAAACCTGAAATGAAATGTAAGTTCATAACCCAAAGATCTCGGTTCTTTTCGATATTCGCGCATATCGGACCGAAACTTCCTAAATTATGGCCCCTGATTGTGCGATAAATCGCGTTTTTAGCTTGTGGACCCTATAAAGGTCATAATTTTTATCCGATTTAAAAAAACCGTATTACTATCTCACCGTTACACCCGAAAGACGACTGAGTTCGAATTTCGTGAAAATCGGCCCAAAATTGACAGACAAAATGGCCGCCGTTCGTTCTCAAATAGCGTAAAAATACGGTATATCAAGGTTGTGGACCCTATAGAGGTCACAATTTTTAACCAATTTTGTTGAAACTTGAAATGTAAGTTTATAACCCAAGGATCTCGGTTCATTTCGATATTCACGCATATTGAATTGTAATTTCCTGAATTATGGCCCTTGATAGTAGGAAAAATCACTTTCTTGTTAGCCTGTTCTCTATCCATCTCTCGAAAATGTGGGCGTATCCTGCCTGGCAGCCGCTGGTTCCTACATGAAGTTACGGTCCGATACATGCCAATATCGAAAGGAACCGAGATCTTGGGGTGTTAAACCTATATTTCATGTTTGATTGAAATCGGATAAAAATTGTGACCTGTAGAGTGTTCACAGACAATTGTGGACGGGCGGACGGACAGGGGCGACGACAATTTACGTCAACATGAAAATGTGGGCGTATAAAAATTGATGTATGGTACAATATCGCGATAATGTAATCAGCCGAGGACGCATATTATGTTTCAATACCGACACATGGGGACTTTGTGTTTGGTGAACGCCAACAACCTAGTACATACACACTCACATCCGAGGACGTTACAAGTGTATATCTATAATATAAATTGAGTGGGTTCAACATTATATCCCAGAACAGGCCCCTTTGACCACAGGAGCAGCCCATTGAAAGAACATTTTTTTACTGATTCAGACACTTAAACTTCTAATTTTCTGAACCAATCTAACTGACTGAATCAATACAAAATTATTTTTTCAATGGGCTGCTAATGTGGTCAAAGGGGGTCTGTTCGCGGATATAATGTTGATCCCACTCAATTTATATTATTGATATACACTTGTAACGTCCTCGGATGTAGGTGTGTATTTGAAATGAAATGAAATGAAATGGGGTTTAACGTCCTACTGTTCTGCTCCTATGCTGGGCTAATGAAGACGGGCATACGCCATACAGTGTGCTATGAGGGAAATTTTGCCCGGGCAGCGGCACTATCGCCTACTCTTATATCGAATTCCAACTGCCAAAGGGATCTTTAACGTGCATTCCGATGTATACACGGGACCTCGGTTTTTCGTCTCATCCGAAGGACTAGACAGCTGTCCTTGTCAGGCCCTCCGTCCTGCATCACTGACAAGGGGGAACCACGCCGGAAAATCTGGATGAACTTTCTCGGCCAATGCAGGGATCGAACACCCGACCTCCAGGCTAGTGAGCCAGCGTCTTACCCACTTAGCCACGTGATCCCCAGGTGTGTATTTACTATGTTGTTGGCATTCACCATACACAAAGTCTCCATTTGTCGGTATTAAAACATAATGTGCGTTCTAGGTTGATCACATTAATAAATGACTGTTCTATCGTGATATTGTACCACACATCAGTTATTAACTGTTATATTGTTTTTCCCATGTGCGGTCATACGGTGTGGAGGGTGGGGGGGGGGGGCGTAGTTATTTACAGGTTAAAGACCACAACGAGTGTCAAGTCTACGAGGTAAGACCTCAGTTAGATTGGTTCAGAAAATTAGAAGTTTAAGTGTCTGAATCAGTAAAAAAATGTTCTTTCAATGGGCTGCTCCTGTGGTCAAAGGGGCCTGTTCTGGGATATAATGTTGAACCCACTCAATTTATATTATAGATATACACTTGTAACGTCCTCGGATGTGAGTGTGTATGTACTAGGTTGTTGGCGTTTACCAAACACAAAGTCCCCATGTGTCGGTATTGAAACATAATATGCGTCCTCGGCTGATTACATTATCGCGATATTGTACCATACATCAATTTTTATACAATTGTCTGTGAACACTCTACAGGTCACAATTTTTATCCGATTTCAATCAAACATGAAATATAGGTTTAACACCCCAAGATCTCGGTTCCTTTCGATATTGGCATGTATCGGACCGTAACTTCATGTAGGAACCAGCGGCTGCCAGGCAGGATACGCCCACATTTTCGAGAGATGGATAGAGAACAGGCTAACAAGAAAGTGATTTTTCCTACTATCAAGGGCCATAATTCAGGAAATTACAATTCAATATGCGTGAATATCGAAAGGAACCGAGATCTTTGGGTTATAAACTTACATTTCAAGTTTCAACAAAATTGGTTAAAAATTGTGACCTCTATAGGGTCCACAACCTTGATATACCGTATTTTTACGCTATTTGAGAACGAACGGCGGCCATTTTGTCTGTCAATTTTGGGCCGATTTTCACGAAATTCGAACTCAGTCGTCTTTCGGGTGTAACGGTGAGATAGTAATACGGTTTTTTAAATCGGATAAAAATTATGACCTTTATAGGGTCCACAAGCTAAAAACGCGATTTATCGCACAATCAGGGGCCATAATTCAGGAAGTTACGGTCCGATATGCGCGAATATCGAAAAGAACCGAGATCTTTGGGTTATAAACTTACATTTCATTTCAAGTTTCAACAAGCTAAAAACGTGATTTTTCGTACAAACAGGGGCCATAATCCAAGAAGTTTCGATCCGATACATGCCAATATCGAAAGCAGCCGAGATCTTTTGGATAAGAATTGTGACCTGTAGAGTGTCCACAAACAATTGTGGACGGACGGACGTCCGGACGGACAGGGGCGACGACTATATACGTCCACATGAAAATTTGGGCGTATAAAAAAATCGCGTTTTTAGCTTCCTCTAGAGGTCACAATTATTATCCGATTTAAAAAAAACCTTTTGAATATATCACCGTTACACCCTGGGGAAAGACACCAAGATCATCAAATTAGAGTTGATAGTTCCATAGTTATGATTATTTTAAGACGTTTCAGTGGTCATTTTGGCGCCATCTTGAAAAAACACTTTTCCGGGGGTCTTACTTTGGTAAACTTTTAGTATGTTATACAGTACACTAAACCCTGCCAGAATCAGTTGAGAAACCTTTTGTTGCAATTTAATTTTTGGGGGGTTGAGGGGGTATTTTCCATATATTGACCTGACTAATATCATAGTCGTACAGACTTTTATTTTATAGCAATTTCAGTTATGGTTGTCACCTGATCATTGTGCCGTTTGTCTATCATCGACGAATGAATAAAAACTTTTGCAAGTTACGTGACTGTTACGTGATGGACAAAGGACTACAAATTGTGTTATGAAGAAATGCCACGGCGCCGTATCAGCTTATTTTGGCTACGGCATTTTCTCATACTGGCAATAAACAATAAACACAATTTTGTTTTTTAGTCAGTATTATTAAGATTCGAAAGATTCGCGCAGATTGCATATATGAGAATTCTCTTGGATTCTCGCAAAAAATGACGAATTTCTAACCCTGCTGAGTTGCTCGGCCCAAAGGTAGATAATTTTAAGGGCATTTAACATAAAATTAAGCAGTTTTATTCTCTAAAATATAATCGCGTTTAAGACTCCAGACGTAGTCCGGTCACCTGGAAGATGAACATGTAATTATTATCTTTAATAAAGTTGTTCGCATCGCCCCGCTTGGCAGTCATTATATAAACATAAAATGTGTCTATTTCATTTTCGATGGAATTTAATTGGTCATTTAGATACTGCTTTCGCATTTTTTTTTTTACATACAACTGAGTGCCAATTACATAAAATTTCATGAGATATATTAAATATAATTTTGTTTATTATATTATAAAAACATGAATAGTATATTTGTAATTATCAAGCTTCAAAGACCTAAAATACAATTATTGAGTTCGCCCCGCTTTGAATTTGTCATTTATTCATTTCTTACATCTCAAACTGCAACAAATGGAACAAACTCTTTTAATGCAACGAATGCCATTTCTAGTCGACTTTACGTGTGTTTTTTCGCTATATAATCGCTTGAAGGTGTCACCAAGTATGCTGTCCTCGATTATACGCTCGACGAGACTTTGGTTTTACTGACCCCCCACCCCCCATTCCTTTTGAAAAATCACGTATCCACCCTTGTGAACGTGTCCGTAACCACAGTTTGTGTGTGTGTGTCCTAATAACATAGATGTACTGGAGGACTACAGAGAATGATACTAGTTCTAGGGTAGTCCTAAAAACTTAGATGTACTGAAGGCAGTGAGAGAGAGAGAAATGGGGTTTAACGTCCACTCGACACAAACTAGGTCATTTCGGGACTAACATATGGTTTAATTTTATTTCAATAATTCGCTTGCGCATAGGGGTCTTTAGCAGTGGGAGGAAACCGGAGGACCCGGAGAAAACCCACGAGGTTGGACAGGCGACCCTACTCCTTGTCACGTCTGAAGGACCACTGTAACACTATTTTCTATTGATAACAGCGATCAGTTTAATAAATACAGCATTTATTTACAACGGGAACTGAATATAACACATCTACATAATTACAACAGGAAAACATAAAACAATATTAAATCCGCCATTCTGCCAAGGCAGCGGCTGAACTTAGTTGAGTCCATACGCCGGCCTCTGCGTCTCTTCTGCTCGGTCTGTCTTCGTTTCTAGTTGTCTTCAGTTATATACCTTTTGATCCTAGATAAGCTCATGGTCATACATGATAAGCTCATGGTCATAAAATGTCAATATTATATATATTATCAAGAAGCAGCTAAGGTCATAAAGTTCTAAGCACCCAGATGACCGTTCAATTTGATGAAAGTTAAACAGCACTTTGTTACACCACAGAGAATCGAAACTAGTTCAAGTTCTCTATCTATTCAAACAACAAATTATCCAGCTGTTCAAAGAATGATTTATCCAGATTTCCAAAGTCCAAGTTATCCAGCTTTCCGAAGAACAAGTTATCTCTTTTGTATCAACGTCACGAAAGCCTGGATGAGTTAGATAATGCCTTCCTATTAATGTCCTTATTAGAGTTAGTTCCATATCTAACCTAGGGACGGTTGTTCCTTACTTTTCTCTTTTTATCAAAGGGTTGAGAGAGAGAGAGAGAGAGAGAGAGAGAGCAATGGGGTTTAACTCCCCTCGACACAAACTAGGTCATTTCGAGACTAACACATGGTTTAATTTTTTTTCAATAATTCACTTGCGCGTTGGGGCCTTTAGCAATGGGACAAAACCAGAGGACCAGGAGAAAACCACCAGGTTGGACAGGCGATCCTACTCCGTGTCACGTACAACCGGGGAATCGAAACCACGCCAGTTGACTCAATGACAGACCTTATGATACAACGCACACAAGCTAACCATTCGGCCATCCAAACATCACCAGCTACAACCAACTGATCTCCACTGCACCTTCACCAAACGCCACCACATTACCAACCTTCAAGGGCAAAATAGAACTGAAAGGTAACGACGCAATCCACTGGAGCACAGACACGGCCAGAGAGATCATCAACTGCTGGATGAGGAATTTAAACTAGGATTAGGGAAAAGGAATGAGAAGCCGTCTTTAGGACAGACAGTTGTCAATTTGAGCGACAGACTTCTCAACCCCCTAGAAATGAACATTCTTGATAAAGGCCTTAAATTCATCCCAACCCCCACAATAACATCCATAGACCCCATCACCCAAGCAACCGATCGCTTCCAAAGAACACTTTCGTTGACTTATTTTTTTAGGAACAAACCCGGCAGAGGTAAAAAATTATTCACAGTAAAATCCACATGGAAACCACCTAAAAAGTCATTATCACCAGCCATCCTAAAAACTTTCGACGAAATGAATATAGAAATATCATCCATTCAACCACAGTCACAAAAACCAAATCTTAACCGAGCAACTAAAACGGCATTAAACACCCTTAAAAAGGACAAAAACATAATAATTAAGAAAAGCGACAAAGGCTCGTGTTGTGTCATAATGAATCGTGCAGACTATATCTCAGAGGCAGAAAAACAATTAAGTAATCCTATACATTACACTAAATTAGACCAACCAATCTTTAAGGACACCGCAAATTTAATAAACAACATCTTATATGAATTGCAGGATAAGGAATACATAACAGCAAAACAATATGATTATCTATCTGCTAAATCTGACTGCCGACAAAGACATCTCTATACACTACCAAAAATACATAAAAATCCAGAAACAGAATGGTTTATACCTAATAAAATACCCAAGGGACGCCCAATAATATCAGACTGTGGCAGCGAATCATACAACGTATCACAATATATAGACCATTTCCTATTACCCCTAGCATGCCAACACCCATCCTACCTTAAAGACACTAACGATTTCATTCAGAAAATCAAACAGTTAAGAGTCCCCGAACACACCGTATTAATATCCATCGACGTACAAAGCATGTACACGAACATTGATAATAACATAGGTATTGAAGCAGTTAGGAAAGCATTTCTTAGGAACCCGCAAGCATCCAGGCCGGACGAAGAAATCCTCAAACTACTCAACATTTGTCTGAGGAGGAATGACTTCGCTTTTAACGACCAAGTATACCTTCAGTCTTCCGGAACTGCGATGGGAAAACGATTTGCCCCGAGTTATGCAAATCTCTTCATGGCGGAGTGGGAAAGGGAAGTTCTGCCACTCTGTCCATTAAAACCAGATTTCTATGGGCGGTTTTTAGATGACGTTTTCATAGTCTGGACCTACACACTAGACGAATTTTTGACGTTTTTCAACATCCTGAACAATCATCATCCATCTGTCAAATTAACCGCAAATGTAAGCCATAACAGCATAGATTTCCTTGATACTACCGTTTTTAAAAGTAACAACACCAAAATCACAGGCCAATTGGAAACTAAAGTATTTTTCAAAGAAACCGACACACATCAATTATTGTTCAAAAGCTCCTTTCACCCAAAACATACATTCTCTGGCATCATAAAATCTCAGATTCTCCGTTTTCATAGGATATGTACTCAGAAGACCGACTTTGAGTCAGCATGTACATTGGTATTTAGCAAACTACGGGAAAGGGGATACTCCAAACGCTATCTACGACGTATAAAAAACAACACTCTAGCTGAGCTTGCCGCCAAAGAAACAAATAATATACAATCAGCACATAAAACCAAAATTTGTGGCCATCCAAGATGTCAAACATGCAAAATCTTAAACATATCCGACCATTTCCATAACAAAACATCTGGCACAAAATTCCCAATATTAGACCAACTTTCATGCAGTAGTTCAAACATAATTTATCTAATCTCATGCAGAAAATGTGACAAGCAATACGTAGGGGAGACTCAAAATGCACTTAGGGAAAGAATTAACGGTCACCGGTCTGACATAGTCACCAAAAAAGACAAACCTGTCTCAATTCATTTCAACCAACCAAATCATGACATTTCAGATCTCATTGTCACGCCAATAGAAAAGACCAAGAGCGACTTTGAAACTTCAGAAGAAATTAAAACGTTTAGGCTAACAAGAGAAAAATTCTGGATTGACAAATTGAAAACAACAGCCCCCCTAGGTTTGAATATTCATACGGCTAGCGCAATAGCTCCTTTTGTAGTTCCATTTAGCGCAACAGCAGCAAGTGCGTCCAAAATCATCAGAAAACACTATACTGATCTCCAAGAAAATCACCCGAAAATATTCACACAGAAACTTATAATTGCATATTCTAAAAATAAAAATCTGAACGACATCCTAGTGCACAGTAAATTAGATTAAATAAGACCAGTCTCCACCCTGACCCAAAACAAACCATATATCAAATCCTATGCCTAACCGCTAGTAATTAAAATCAATTAGATATAAGAATCCCTAGCCGTAACCCGGTGATGTGGAACAAACACGATTTTTTTTAGAAAATCCAATCCGTTGTAGGAAACACACTAATGTGGCTCTCTCGCGAGAGCCTCAAATTTCTTTTCTTTTCTCTTCAGAAACAATAATACCAGAATACCAGAAGCACCACCCAAGGAAGACCATCAGCGCCACCAACACCAATAAACAGTGAAATCGCCTTTGTATATAAATCTAATGTATTGTATGTATTTTAATAAAACTAGGAAATATCACGAACTAATTTTTCATCATCCTAGGTCAGTGCTTATGTGGAGACTTAACCTCTCCCCCCAAATTCTTAAACCTAACCCTACATTATTGTATATAATTAGCTACATTTGGTGATATAAGATCAGGATCTATTAGAGTATCTTCTAGAGGGATATTGATGTTATATTCATATGGTTGATGTTTATGTTGAACACCTGTACGACGACTACGTTGTGGAATAGGTAACTCGGAATGATGAGCTGGAAGAGGTTCCGTGAAAAAATATCGATGTAGTAGAGCCTGAAAAATAATCATTATCAAATATCAAAAGTAGTAGGGGATATTCAGAAACAATACAAAACTGCGGAAATGCACTGCTGTTTTTATTAGAGGTAACCAGTGTATGTTAATAACAGGCCAATTGCATACACATGAACATAAACAGTTCATATGGGCGGCTTATCTGATGGCCCCATTTCACTGTAAAGAGATACACCGTCAAAAGTGAAAATGGACGTTTTTGATTTTTGTCTTAATAATGAGTAATTGCTCCACCAATCCTCAGACATTCAGCAATTCGTCGTGGCAATTCTTGCAGTGTTGTCGGTTGACGTTGACGTCGACGAAACCATCTCCCGACCAAATTAAACGTAACACACTAAAGCAAAGTTACGCTAAACTGTAACTCTTATGCAAGAACCGATAGGAAAGCAAACATGGAGAGGATAAACCAGCAAGCGGCAGTTTTCATCAACCCTTCAAATTTGACAATGAACCCCTTCCACGTGCATGGCGCTATTGCGTGTCGCATGTGCAGCTCAGTGATTCTGTTGGGGCGAATAGTTCTTCATCTGTGAACATACTCTTAAAGCATGGCAAGTGTCCATGACTATTTATCATATCACAACCTACATAGGTATTAGCATTCCAATATCCCCTACTTTTTTTTAAAGAGTGTAGAAAAGAATTAAAGATACATTATGGTTAAACTAGACTGGTCTTTAATCCTGCACCCTTGACAAGGTACAATCCTGACCAATTTTCTCAGCCAACACGGTAAGCATACTCTACACAGAACCGTCCCAGACGATTACATTCAAGAAATTACACCGTTTACATCTAGGGCTAATCCCAACCCTAGCCCTAACCCTGGACCTAGCCAACCTACAATCTTAAACCTAACCTACAATCACACAAACAATCATGTGCCCTAACCTTATTTACATTTCAGCGACCTTGACAAAAAATAAGCTGGTCTTAACAAATAGATTTAGCCCAGTTTACATTGCTATACATGCAATGACCATTCTCGGAACCGTGTTTGGCTTGCTAAATGTGGAACTCTTCACAGAAAAGTTAATTTCAGTCACAGGGAAAAGGGTCAAAGTTCATGCTAACGAACGCGCAGAAATCCGTACTGAGAACAATTCTGAAAAGTTAATTTCAATCACTGGGAAAAGGCCCAACGTTAATGCTGACGCATGCGCAGAAATTCATACTGAGTACTGTTCTGAAACCTTATAGTCTATCATTAACAGTACGAAAATTTAACTGTGAGAACGGTGCCTAGATCACCCCACTCAGAAAACAAAGTTGATTCGGACAAAATTATCGCAGATACGTTGCAGTAAATAAACTGTTATATATGCCATTGTTTGATGATACTGAATTATTGGTTGTAGTAATGATACTGATATATGCAGCTATTTGATATGGGGTTATTTCTTGCAGTAATTATATACTGATATGCAGCTATTTGATATTGGGTTAATTATCATTTACTGGGTAGTAATTATTGTCATTTTTGTCATATCAAATATCAATCTGTTTCAAAGAGTATTACGAAAGTCTTCTAATATCTCTGTAAAAGATGACTGCCTTCAACACATGACGTCATATCACGCGGCGTCAATCATTGGCTCAATGGCGCATGCATTGTTTACATAAAACGTTACTGATTGGAGCAGAATGGCGCCTTATACTCATTTTAATACCCATTTACATTAAAATTGGAAATAATTTTTACCTACAAATACTTCAAACGTCTTTATTTATTTTTCTAATACATAAAAAAAAATGTTTTAGAATTTAATTTGTTGACGGAAAAAAGTTAATATTTTTGGCCCATTAAGTCGCATCGATGTCATCCTTATCAGTGATTGTCGCGGCCTAGCGAATATTCACTGCTGATCGTCATTCAAATAATGGTCCGATTGGTAGTACGGTTACGTTCGACCCATTTTACACTACAAAAAAAAATTAACTATTCCGTTCTGGGCACAGTTCCTGGTATGCTTAAAACTGGATTATAGAATCTCTTGGGGGTGCCCGATTGTAAGTCTGGAACGTCCAGAATTGACGGAAATGCAATCAAGTGATACGGAATTCAGCCATTTCACAGGTTTACCAGTCCCGAGAGAGAGAGAGAAATGGGGTTTAACGTCCACTCGACACAGACTAGGTCATTTCGGGACTAACACATGGTTCAATTTTATTTCAATAATTCGCTTGCGCGTAGGGGTCTTTAGCAGTGGGAGGAAACCGGAGGACCCGGAGAAAACCCAAGAGGTTGGACAGGCGACCCTACTCCTTGCCCCGTATAACCGGGGAATCGAAACTCTGCCAGTTTACTCAATGACAGACCGTATGATATAGCATGCATGCTAACCATTCGGCCACCCCCCCCCCCCCACCAGTCCCGACAGCTGAGGTGGTGTGAGTAGAATCGCGACGTATTTTAAGTAACAAATATGTTTCAGCTGTCATGATTGGTTTAGATATTTTTTAATGCAGTCGGCACATGCGTTGTACTCCGAAACTCTCCTTTTCACTTGATTGACACTATTTTTGGAATTGAGAGCATTTAATTCAGGAACGGTCAATCGAGTATCCCTTTCTGTTTGGTTATATACCCACCTCTTTAGCAGCAATACGTTGTTTGGATGGATACACCAGAAATTTCTTCAGTAAATCTAATGCATCAGTTGAAGCATCAACAACGATCTTTTCAAACTGTATGGGTTCGTTATGTTCAAATGATATTTTATGATAATCAGGCAGATCAGTCATTCCCTGTAATACAGAGGGAGAGATGAAATGAAATGGGGTTTAACGTCCTACTGTTCTGCTCCTATACTGGGCTAATGAAGACGGGCATACGCCATACAGTGTGCTATGAGGGAAATTTTGCCCGGGCCGCGGCACTATCGCCTACTCTTATATCGAATTCCAACTGCCAAGGGATCTTTTACTTGCATTCCGATGTAGACAAAGGACCTCGGTTTTTCGTATCATCCGATGGATGAGAGAGAGAGATTAACTAGGTAATCTCGCGACTAACATATGGTTCAATTTTATTTAATTCAATTGTTTTCGCTTAGGGGTCTTTAGCAGTGGGAGGAATCCGGAGGACCCTGAGAAAACCCACGAGGTTGGACAGGCGACCCTACTCCCTGTCACATACAACCAGGGAAGCGAAACCACTCCAGTTGACTCAATGACAGACCTTATGCCACCCAAAACCCCAATACTTATTTGCATAATGATTTCTAGGTCATATCTGACAAAAACATGGGAATACTTCAGGTAAGCCAAATGAATCTGTTTCACAAAGGTAATATGAAAGCCTTATTTTAACTCTCAAGTTTATCGACCTTTAAGTTCATGTGCATGTCTATACTTTCTCTTGACCCTGCATAGAAAACACCTTAAAATAGTCAACTTCCTTAAAACTAGATGCCCCCTCCCTCTGTTCAAGATAGTCAACCCTTTTCAGGTAGGGGGTAAAGACAGACGAAAAATATCTTTAATTGTGGAAATTATAAACCAATGAACATACCGGCCATGTTTTTTCTGTTGGAGTACCAAGAACTCGTAAAACGTAACACAACTGTTCTATATCTGTTTCCCCCTGTAATAAAATATCAAATAGTTCTAATATCCACAAATATATGCTCTGTAAACATTGCACATTTAGTTGTTGGAAATTGAATAAAAGTCAGCAAAATTCTGCCCTTCACACTGCACCAGTAACCCTAACAAATAAAAGGAAATTGTGTTAAATCCTCTTATATCAAATTTCCCTCACAGCACACTGCAATCTCATTTAAAAAAAACAACACAGATCCTATTTCGTTTCGCTTTTTATAGTTCAAAAGTTCGTTTTATTTGTCTGTACTACACTAGGATCTGGAAGAGTTGTTATGTAACCTGCGTTTCGGATGACGTGAGAGATTAGCCAATGAAACCATCTGCTACAGCGACTTCTTGCCGTGCGATGCACGAAACTGTGGGTAAACCACTAGAAACGCCAACGCTGATTGATTAATTAATGTCTGACGTCATAGGGCTAAAAGGCGCTCGTACAACCCGTGACGCGACCTCCCACTACAACCGGTCAGATCTTCATATAGTGTAGGCCATGGAAAGTATAAAAAAACGAAACGTAATATAGTTCTGTATTGTAATCAGATTGAGCACACTGTATGGCTTATGTCCATCTTTATTAGCGCGGTCCCTGCAGAAAAGTAGAAGTTAAACAACAATTTCACTGCATTTCTTTTTGCTAGCCGTTTACAACATATATATTATTTACAGTATAGTTATTGAGAGAGAGATATGGTTTAACATCCACTCGACACAAACTAGGTAATTTAGGGACTAACACATGGTTCAATTTTATTGCGCGTAGGGGTCTTTAGCAGTGAGAAGAAACCAAAGAACCCAGAGAAAATCTCATAGGTTGGACAGGCGACCCTACTCCTTGCCAGGTACAACCTGGGAATCGAAACCATGCCAGTGGACTCAATAATAGACTTTACCATAAAACGCGCACACACTAACCATTTGGCCATCTAACTCTCCTAGTATGGAAGGAGAATGCTAGCAGTCAGCAATCGGATATTAGTATGAGAGTCAGCTGCTGTGACAAGGTTTAAAAAATACTCACAGGAAACAAGGGAGAATTATTTAACAGTTCTCCAAAAATACATCCAACAGCCCTGAAAAAAATAAACAAACATAGGATAAGATTGCGGACAGATAAATTAATTGTTTGCAGTCAGGACAGCAGAATCTGCATAATCTTTCTCCAATTCCAACTTGACAAGGGTTTTACCAACTTGACAAGGGTTCTTCCAACTTGACAAAGGGTTTTCCAACTGACAAGGGTTCCCGTACCTGTGTACAAAGATGAACCTCATCTTTTCGTCCCATCTGAACAACTAGGCACAGTTAAAGTTTAGTAAAGTAAATCAAGTTGTTATCATGGGATATCAAGGGGAATAACTCCAGCAGTAATTTTTAGGATGTTATTATAATGTCGACTCCCTTGAAATGTTAACAAGGTTTTGCACAATAAGGGGAGTAACTCTGGTAGCAATTGTTTAAAATCTATGGGCTGCATCAGTTTACTAATTGACTTATGATAATTGGCTTCATAAATCAAGGGGAATAACTCTGGTAATTATTCACAATCAATCAAATGAAATAAAGTAATTGTCGGAAATTGTTCATTTCAACAATCCTCTTGTAGAGGGGTTAAAGCGTGAACAGATAGACGAACTGCAGGACAGGATTACGACATTAACATGTGGGCGTATTAATATAACATAACTACTTTCTCCATTTACTCACCATAAATCTACACCTTCATCGTATTTCCTGGCACCATATAAAAGTTCTGGAGAACGGTACCACCTTTAAAATAAAGATAGACATTGAGAGAGAGAGAGAGAGAGAGAGAGAGGGAGAGAGAGAGAGAGAGAGAGGGTAATGTCCACTGGTCACATCAGCTATCCAACACCCCAACATTGAAATAACACATAAACAACTTGATGGGAACGGGATTACAATCACTAGTGCTGGTTTCAACAAGAAATCCTCTTCTGCTTCTCAAGGACAAAGGTAATCAATAATATCATACATAATTTGCGAGTGTAATAGCTTTATTACAAATATTACAAATACAAAAAGCTGTGAGTGAACATCTAAGTATAAAAAATAACAAATGAAGGCACAAAGACAAGAATTTGTATTCTGTTTAAACATATAAATTATCAAAGACTGTATGGTGCTACTCGATTGAAAGTTCCAGAATTGAATTCTCTCAATCCCCAAAATAGTCACAATCGAGTGAAGACGGGTATTTCAGGCCGACTGCATAACAATCTGGTTAAAACACAGATCCTATTTCGTTTCGTTTTTATAGTTCAAAATTTCGTTTTACTTGTCTTTACTACACTTGGTTCTGGAAGAGTTGTTATTTAACTCGTGTTCTGAATGGCGTAAGGGATAAGCCAATGAAACAGTCTGTCACGGCGAGCTTTAGGCGTGTTTTGCACGAAACTGTGGGTAATCCACTAGTAACATCAATGCTGATTGGTTAATCAAATGTCTGACATCATAGGGTCATAAGTCGATCTTTTGACCCCTGAAGTGACCTATCGCTACAACCGGCCAGATATTCATGTAGTGTAGACCATCGAAAGTATAAAAAAACGAAACGAAATATAGATCTGTATTTTAATCAGATTGACTGCATAAGAAAATATCTTAACCAACCACGACATCTGAAACATATGCGTTGGGAGGAATCTAATAGACCCCGAGAAAACCCATGAGGTTGGGCAGACATCCCTACACCTTGCCATGTAGAAGTGGAAATTGAAACCACGCCACTTGGCTCTATGACAGACCTTATGATCAAACCCACAGGCATTAACCATTCAGCAACCCATCCATACCCCCTTATAACCAGGGGGATAACAGAGAGAGAGAGAAATTGGGTTTAACGTCCACTCGACACAAACTAGGTCATTTCGGGACTAACATACGGTTCAATTTTATTCGTTTGCGCGTAGGGGTCTTTAGCAGTGGGAGGAAACTGGAGGACCCGGAGAAAACCCACGAGGTTGGACAGGCGACCCTACTCCTTGCCACGTACAACCGGTGATTCGAAGGGGGATAACAAGTCTCAGCCAACACCGGGATCGAACCCCAGACAGCCTGGCTAGCGAGCAAGCACCTTGATTGGATGTAATTCACAAAACAAATGGAATATAATGAAATGGGGTATAACGTCCTACTGTTTTGCTCACCGAAAAGGGGAAACCGTGCCAGAAATTCACAAAACAAGGTTCGACTAACAAACCTTTTCCATGTCATGGGATGGAACCCTAAACAACAGTTGGATACTTTGCTAGAAGTATAAATTAGCTGATTACTAGAAGTGTAATTTACCTGGATGCTAGGAGCATAATTTACCTGGTTGCTAGGAGCATAATTTACCTGGTTGCTAGGAGTATAATTTACCTGGTTGCTAGGAGCATAAATTACCTGGTTGCTGGAAACATTATTTACCTGGTTACTAGAAGTATAATTTACCTGGTTACTAGGCTAGAAGATTTACCTGGTTACTAGGCTAGGAGATTTACCTGGTTGCTAGGAGCATAAAGTACCTGGTTGCTGGAAAGTATAATTTACCTGGTTACTAGGTGTATAATTTACCTGGTTACTAGTTGTATAATTTACCTGGTTGCCACCTGATGACTGTATTGTCTTTCACCTTTATTCTGGAAAACCCGAGCCAGACCAAAATCAGCGATTTTAAGATGTCCAGTAGCACTTATCAATAAATTAGCTGGTTTTAAATCCTGAAATAAACAAAAACCATGTTGCACGTAGGAGTCTTGAGAAGTGGGAGGAAACCGGAGGACCCGGAGTAAACCAATGAAGTTGGACAAGCTAACTATGGAAAACTAAACATGTTAGTCCCAGAACGATGAAAGTATTGTGTTGACAAGATGTTAAACCTGGAGGGCCAGACAAGGACAGCTGTCTAGTCGTTCGGATAGGACGAAAAACCGAGGTCCCGTGTACACATTGGTGTGCATGTAAAAGATCCATTGACAGTTGGAATTTGATTTGGGTAGGCTGTAGAGCTGCTGTCTGAGCAAGCAAACTTTCCCTCATAGCACACTGTATGGCGTATGCCCGTCTTCATTAGCCCACTTTAGGAGCAAAACAGTAGGACGTTAAACCCCATTTCATTATATTCCATTTGTTTTGTGAATTACATCCAATCAAGGTGCTTGCTCGCTAGCCAGGCTGTCTGGGGTTCGATCCCGGTGTTGGCTGAGACTTGTTATCCCCCTTCGAATCACCGGTTGTACGTGGCAAGGAGTAGGGTCGCCTGTCCAACTTCGTGGGTTTTCTCCGGGTCCTCCAGTTTCCTCCCACTGCTAAAGACCCCTACGCGCAAACAAATTATTGAAATAAAATTGAACTGTATGTTAGTCCCGAAATGACCTAGTTTGTGTCGAGTGGACGTTAAACCCAATTTCTCTCTCTCTCTGTTATCCCCCTGGTTATAAGGGGGTATGGATGGGTTGCTGAATGGTTAATGCCTGTGGGTTTGATCATAAGGTCTGTCATAGAGCCAAGTGGCGTGGTTTCAATTTCCACTTCTACATGGCAAGGGTCGCCTGTCTGCATTAGCCCAGTTCGTAGCAGAACAATAGGACGTTAGATCCAATTTTATTTCATTACCTTTTGTATTAAAGATACAGAGAGAGAGAGAGAGAGAGAGAGAGAAATGGGGTTTAACGTCCACTCGACACAAACTAGGTCATTTCGGGACTAACATATGGTTTAATTTTATTTACATAATTTGCTTGTGCGTTGGGGTCTTTAGCAGTGGGAGGAAACCGGAGGACCCGGAGAAAACCCACGAGGTTGGACAGGCGACCCCACTCCTTGCCACGTACAACCGGGGATTCGAAACCACGCCAGTCGACTCAATGACAGACTTTATGATACAGCGCGCACGCTAACCATTCAGCCATCCAACCCCCCATTAAAGATACATTATGGGAGATTAGATGAAGGGCTAGCAGTTCTCACTACAATATTTACAAACTAGATAATGTAAAGGGAATTTGCTGAAAATTGATCCACTCTGAACGATTGAAATTTAGGCCTACCCTCGATCATCATTACTAAAGTCAGCACGATTCTAAAGATTGGATAATAATCCAGTAAATATCGCAGGCTAGTAAGGACATCGAGAGTTGATTATGTTCTGGATAAGTTAATTAATGTCTAATTAATAGTTTATATAACATTTCAGGCCTAAAGAAAGACCTGCAATAGTCAGATTTAATCATCAATGAGCATTGAACAGCAGATGGGATGCTAATCCAGTAAATATCGCACGCTAGCGATGACATCAACAGTTGATTATGTTCTGGATAAGTTAATTAATGTCTAATTAATAATTTAGATAACATTTCAGGCCTAAAGAAAGACCTGCAAATGACAGATTTAGCTCTTGCATAATGTATGTTTAAGATAAATAAAGTTTGACTTACTCTGTGCATGATGTGATTTTCATGTAGATGGGCCACACCCTTTAGTAACATCAACATATATGATTTAATCTGGGCTTCTGTCAGTGGTTTATCACAGTTCCTTATAACCTCAGATAAATCAGATAACATATAATCGAATACTAGAACTATCATAGAACCATGGGGAAATACTTCTCTTAATGTTACTACCTAGAAATATACATAACAAAACTTATAGGTGGCACTGGTTTGTTTAATATTACCACCTAGAAAAATACAAACAAAACTTATAGGTGGCACTGGCTTGTTTAATATTACCACCTAGAAATATACAAACACAACTTATAGGGGATACTGGTTTGCTTAACATTACTACCTAGATATATACAAACAAAACTTATAGGTGGCACTGGTTTGTTTAATATTACCACCTAGAAATATACAAACAAAACATTTTGCAAGAGATGAATAGAGAAATAGATGAAAAGCTAAAAAGACAAAAAAAAGAGCTATTTTTCGTTCAATCAGGGGTGATAATCCAAGAAGTTATGGTCTGAAATGTGCAATATCGATGGGAACCAAGATCTTTGGGTTGTAAACATACATTTCAAGTTTCATCAAAATCGGATGAAAATTGTGATCTCTAGAGTGTCCACAAGCTAAAAATGTGATATTTCATACAATCAAGGGCCATAGTCCATAAAGTTACGGTCTGATACAATTTCGAAAGAATCCAGACGGACGACAATACACTTCCACATGAAGATGTGGGCGTATAAAAATATGTCTAATTAAAAAAAAACAACAACTTTTAATTTTTCATTCTGATAGAGACTACACACTGTAACATAGGTATCATTTAATCTTGTGTATCTAGCACTAATTTCTTTCACATTTGTTTAATATCAGATCTATGTTTAAAATTTTTTAAAATTGTTTAAAATCACCAAAATCATCTAATTTGTACTTGTGTCCAGTTTAAAGCTGACCATTCAATTGTGATAATGAGTGTCCAATTTACAAGCGTTTAATTTCCCGATCACTGTTAAAAAATAAACAATCCAAAATTGGACACTCATTATGAAAATTAATCAGTGAGCTTCAAACTGGATACAAGTACAAATTAGATGATTTGGGATGATTTTAAACAATTTTTACGAATTTTTAAACAAAAATCTGATATTAAACGAATGTGAAAGAACTTAGTGCTAGATACACAAGATTAAATGATACCCGGGTTACAGTGACATCTGAACGTACGACAGCTGTGTTCCGTTAACAGATCTTCAGATGGTATATATACATAAAGAGAGGGACAGAGAAATGGGGTTTAACGTCCACTCGACACAACTAGGTCATTTCTCGGGACTAACATAAGGTTTTATTTTATTTCAATAATTCGCTTGCGCATAGGGATCTTTAGCAGTGGTGGGGAAACCGGAGGACCCGGAGAAAACCCACGAGGTTGGACAGGTGACCCCACTCCTTGTCACGTACAACCGGGGATTCAAAACCACGCCAGTCGACTCAATGACAGACTTTATGATACAGTGCGCGCACGCTAACCATTCAGTCATCCAACCCCCCTATATATACATAAACAATCAACTACATGTATAATATAAATATAATCAATCAACTTACATATGGATTATCAGCTATTTCTTGTAAAGCTTTGATTTCACTGAAAACAAAATCAAATTAATTAATTTACATCTAAAAAATAATTCTAAATCTGATAGCAGAACCAAATCAAAAATATCAGAACATTATCTCAATTTCATAAGAGAGAGAGAGAGAGAGAGAGAGAGAGAGAGAGAGAGAGAGAGAGTTCCAAACAAATCAATTCCTTCAATGTCTTATATAAAATATAAGATACTCCATTGTTAATTCTTACCGTAAAGCTGTATTAGGAATCCCATCTTCTAGATTACGTAGTGGGATTTTCTTTAAGGCAACAATTTCCCCACTCTGTAAGAACATTAAGTACTAAAAGTTATTTTATTCTGTAAAGATTACCATTCATATTTGTATCCATTATAAGGTAAAGAGGCATCAGCGTTTCAGAGATCATTTGAGTTAAAAAAAAATAAATTTCAATTTGATGTGATTAACCAAAACAGGTCCTTCTCAAACGCTGTCAGTGAGACATATTTTAGCTGTTTCCAAGGAATACTGATGAATGATAGTAGACAAAACTTTATTCGCAGTGAAATGGTCAATGTTAGCTTTTTTTGATAATTTTGATAATTTTTGATAATTAAGGCTATCATGAATGGTGTTTTGTTATTCATTTGCATATTTTTCTTGATGAGACAAACTCATGATTCAATTTTATTTCAATAATTTGCTTGCCGTGGGGGAGGGGGGTTGAACATGAGGACCCAGAGAACCCAGAAGGTTGGACAAGCGACCCTACTCCTTGTCACGTACAAGCGGGGAATCAAAACCACGCCAGTTGATAACAGACCTCATCTTCTAACGTACATGCATTTATTCATGCGGCCATTATCCATTATTTATTTCATTTCTCGTTTCTCCTACCTCAATATGTTTTGCCTTTAATACGATTCCGTGGGCCCCTTCTCCAATACGACCTAATATGGTATACTGAAACATGGACATTTTAACATCTCAACTGAAATAAATCAAACATAAAATGTTATATATGAAATAAAATTGTTAAATAGTTTTCCAGTTAGACTGTAGTTATAAGGCAGATTTTATTACAGTACAAGAATTGAACATATGCTCTAATAATCCTCATAATTTCTCTCAGATGAGAGGGAGAGAGAGAGAGAGAGATGGTTTCACTCCACTTGACACAAGCTAGGCCATTTTAGGACTAACATATGGGTTAATTTTATTTCAATAATTCGCTTGCGCGTAGGGGTCTTTAGCAGTGGGAGGAACCCAGAGGACCCAGAGAAAACCCACGAGGTTAGACAGGCGACCCTATTCCTCGTCACATACCCTCGGCGAATCGTGCTAACCATTTGGCCATCCATCCCCCACCCCTCAATAGAATAGAACTGAATGGGGTTGATACATTGGTCATTATCAAACTAACTTCTGGTCATTACTAAATACTAACACACACTAATTTTCATTCCAGTGATTATGATTGTGTGCAATGAGTTGCGGGGGAGGGGGATTTTGACTGGGGCATTATTTTACACAAGTGTGTAGGCTTCACTGGCGCTGTGGTGTTTCTTGGTTTTTCGTTCCCTACTCATGGACCGCACTTGTGTGAATGTGTGTCATTCTGTTGTTATCAAGGTAACCAACAAAGTTCGACACAAGTAATCTCATTGATAATTGATTGGTGATTGTGTGTCAATCTTTTGTAGGTAAACACTGACAGATTGAAGGTCGAATTATATAAATACATTGTTAATAATTCAATGCAAATCGTGTGACGGGACCTCTGATTGATGTCGTACTTCGGAATATTCAGAATATCAATTACTCAAAAAAATTTGGGGTTGAAGTAATAAGGAAATAAAGCGGGACATGGAAATGATGATGGATTTCACAGAGTGCCCTAGTTAGTATTCAGAAGCCAAACTGGGGGCCGATACTTTTTCATCAAGGATTCAACTGGGCGGTTCCTGAACGTACGAGGCGAGTGTAATGAGCCCTGCATTCAGAGCTGAACTAAATATTGTTTGTACGTATGTGACGGAGTTCATATAATCATCACTTACTACTATAGCAAGGTTTTCCAGTTAAATCAACCCAAACCACCAACAAAAAATTCTGAATTAATTCAAAATGGCCTAAAAGTCTCGGGAAACCAACAATGGTTAATCAAATCATTGTCATATTTCAAGAATTAACTGAAAAACTTGTCTTAACAACGGTACAAACAACTATTTACTAGAAAATTCCCACGAATACCGTTTCATCCTCACGGCACCAGAGAGCATTGAGTCGCAGTTATCTCCCTTAGACTGGGATCACCCGGGGAAAGCTGAACAATCGAATTCAATTTAATGGTGTGTTCAAAACACAAAAGCAGAATAAATAAAGAAAGGGGTCATCATAATAGCTACTTTTATATAGAAGCGACTTTTATATATTCTGAAAAAAATTGTTAAATTTCATTTGAATAAAACCCCAAACAAACCACTGAATTAATTTAGAAAAATTAAATAAATTTTGTTTGTTACATGCTGGGTTCTCTCTGCGATTAGAGCCCTTGAAGTTTAAACTTAGTTATAGGTGTATCAAGGTCTAATGTAGACCTAGTGTAGGTGTATTAAGGTCTAATGTAGGCCTAGTGTAGGTGTATTAGGGTCTATTGTAGGACTAGTGTGGGTGTATTAAGGCCAAGTATAGGCCTAGTGTAAGCGTATTAATGTTTTTAGACTATTTAAAGATTAAACATGATTTTAACGGGCCTATATTTCGGTTTTATTCATTCATTTATTCCCAGATACTCTTTTTTAAAGATCAATTTCATATGAAATATGGAGATAATTTTGACATTCTTTAGAAGAAGAAAACAATGACAGTCATCACGGTGACACTACAATCAGTTCTAAATTTTAATCTAAAGACCTTCCCAAGACCTTAACCTTTAGGAGAAGAATACAATGACAGCCATCAGTTCTAGATTATGACCATCCCAAGACCCTCACTATTTGTTGGCATAAAATGACAGCCATCATGGCGACATTACAAATGTAATTCAAATTAAAACGATACTAAACTGTAAAATAAATTTGATATTATTCAAAATGAAATAACATTATGTAGGCCTAGTATGCTAAAATTAGATGAGCGATTTTCTATTTCTTTTCTACTTGGGGACGAGTGAGGGGGTGTGGGGTTGATGGCCGAATGGTTAGCGCGTGCGCCCTGCGTCATAAGGTCTGTCATTGATTCCCCGGTTGTACGTGTCAATGAGTAGGGTTTCCTCCGGGTCCTCCGGTTTCCTCCCACTGTTAAAGGCCCCTACGCGCAAGCCAATTATTGAAATAAAATTTAACCATAATTATGTTGGTCCCAAAATGACCTAGTTTGTGTCGAGTGGATGTTACCCTCTCTCTCTCTCTCTCTCTCTCTCTCTCTCCCTCCCCCTCTCTCTCTCTCTCCCTCTCTCTCTCTCTCTCTCTCTCTCTCTCTCTGTATTTTCTTTCCTTGTTTCACGTTTGAAAAATACTGGATAATCTCACTTGGTGCCAGAATCACGCCCTTAAGGGTTGATCCAGGGCTGGACGCATGGGCATGGCTAGTACAGTTCTATTAGTAAGTACACGAGACCCACGAGACAAACCTGCGGACAAGACAAACCTGCGGACAAGACAAACTACACAGAGATTGCAGGACATAGACAATAAATATTTCAAATCAAGTGAATGCATCCAAGGGCCAGTCGTCAGCGTCCACTGCAATAGAGGCGTACAATAAATCTGACGTCATAGTAAATGTGACATCATAATGAACAACGTCATAATGATATGAACAAGGCTCTAGTAGAAAAGCCAAAAATATGTGGAATAATATTAATATTAATATGAAGGGGGGTTTAAAAGGTGATGACGTGTAATAATGAAAGGTGTAAATATACAAGTATGAGATATTCTACTACAGGTAGAGTACAAGATGATTATAGACCAGCACGTAAAAATGCCGGTAATCGATATGCCAATAACCAGGTACGTAAATAATCTAAATGAATAAATAAAATATAGATAAAAAGCTGTCAGGTCTCGCTATAATAGGTAAGTCTCACTTGAATGGCAATCTCTAGCGTCTGGTTATTCCAGTCTACAGTGATAGTATTTATTGCACAAGCTCTCCAGATAAGAATATGTCACCGTTTGACATGACTTGTGGGATATGTCTAGCCTTGTTCTCCGAGTCCCTTGTTACAAATAGAGCTGAAACGCATTATGGCACACGATTCTTGTACAAATGGTAAAATGTTTATTTTGTCTTAAATATTGGATATCAGAAGCCCATCTTTTCCCGGTAAGATCACAACATCAATGTTGCTTTAATTAAATTGACCAATAATTCGTGTTTTCAATGTCGAAGACTTTGGACCATATTGAGTTAGCGAACTGATTAAAATACAGATCTATATTTCGTTTCGTTTTTTTTATACTTTCGATGACCTACTCTACATGAAGATCTAACCAGTTTTACTGAAAGGTCGCGTCAGGGGTCGTACGAGCGGCTTTTGACCCTATGACGTTAGATATTGATTAATCAATCAGCGTTGACGTTTCTAGTAGTTTACCCACAGTTCCGTGCAAGGCACGCCAAGAAGTCGCTGTAACAGATGGTTTCATTGGATAATACCTCACGTCACCCAGAACGCATGTTATATAACAACTCTGTGCAGTACAGACAAATAAAACGAAATTTTGAACTACAAAAAACGAAACGAAATAGGATCTGTGTTTTAATCCGATTGATTGAGTTAGAGACTTTAATTCGGCGACATGTGTATTTATGTTCGGTACTTGTACTATATCAATAGGTGGCAAGAAGCTTATCTTTAGAAGGTAAAACGGAATTAGATGAAGATTTTATTCAACCGTGTAACAGTGAAGAGAGTTGCTATAAACCATCAAGTCCGGTAACACCGACAACAACACCCAGCCCGCAACAAGGGGTAAGTTTTTATCATCCAGTCCGAAACAAGGGGTAAATTTTTATCATCCAGTCTCCAACAAACTTCTACTTCTTGGCTCGCGATGCATGGAACTGTGGGTAAACCACTAAAAACGTCAACGCTGATCGATTAATCAGTCTGACGTTATAGGCGCTCGTACGACCCCTGACGCGACCTTCGAGTACAACCAGTCAGATCTTCATATGGTATAGGCCATCGAAAGTTAGATCTGTATTTTTGCACCCACCGGGCTATTGAAGACAGTGTGGTATGGGAGGAATTTTGTCCGGGCAGGAATTGAATTTCACGACTAGGCACTGCCCTGTCAGGCCCACCACCCTGCATCACAGACAAAAGAAAAAACATGAAGGAAAATCCCAAGGAACTTTGTCGGCCAAGTCCACACGCCTGTGCCTACCCACTGAGCCACCGCGACTCCCAAACATAATTTCAGTATTTCAGTTATTAATACCCATTAAAGATGGAGAGATAGAGAGAGAGAGAGAGAGAGAGAGGGAGAGAGAGAGATAGAGAGAGAGGGGGGCGGTAGCGTCCACTCGACACAAACTTTGTCATTTCGTGACCAACATCTCTCTCTCTCTCTCTCTCTCTCTCTGATGCCCCTTAGATGTTGAGACCCTAGGATTCGGACTGGAAAGCCTAGTACTTGTTTGTCGGGTATATTAGACCATATGACCCACGACATCTGATTACACACAGAGAACGTAGGCACCACGATATACACACAGACATCGTAGGCCCCACCACCGTCGACATCTGCTTACACACAGAGGTCGTATGACCCACCTACGATTACACACAAAGATCGTAGGAACCACGACAACTGATTACACACAGAGATCGTAGAACCCACGTCATCTAATTACACACAGAGGTCGTATGACCCCTCCCCCCCACGACATCTAATTAGAGACAAAGATCGTAGGACCCACGACATCTGAGATAGCAGACTGAATGACTGGAGGAGCCCGGCCCTTCGTCCTACTACACAACTGCCAAGGGGGAACTATGCGGGAAAATTCGTCCACCCGGCCCACCTGCTCAGCTACATTAAAAAAAAGTTATAAAACAACACTTTTTAAGAGAAAAGAGTCACGGTCGTGCTTTGTCACTTTTCATCAGATGGTGGGATGGGTATTCAAAGCGCGAGATGGTGATTTAGACATATGTGATATCACAATTAATGCTTTGCATCAGTGAAATTGAATCATAATGTGATCCTATTAATTCACAATAAAAATTGACGTCAAACGGTGTGTTAGATTTCTATCTTTAAAAATCTCTACGCCTACGTAATTTGGAGACGATGATAACAGGAACCGGGCAAACCCCCTCCTGCAAAAAATTCCTGGATCCGCCCCAGACAAAGGCCTACGTCGACGTTGCCGACCACGTAACTTGGACTTTAAGTTTGGTTTCATTTATTTCCAGTGCTGTGAAAATGTGAAAGCAGGAAGTTGTTCTGATACAGCGGTATTTTGGAGAGATTTTCTATCACGCCTGGAATTTGCCGAGTTAAACAAAAGACGCGGTGCCACCAGACGGGGCTTTGAGTGCGTCAGAGAAATAGAACAAAAATACTTTAAAAACAGGAAAGTCGTCTCACTTGCTAAAGTAAATATTTATTCTTGGGCGTTCACAGAGAGGGAGAGAAATGGGGTTTAACGTCCACTCGACACAAACTAGGTCATTTCGGGACTAACACATGCTTCAATTTTATTTCAATAATTCGCTTGCGCTTGTGGCTTTAGCAGTAGGAGGAAACCGGAGGACCCAGAGAAAACCCACGAGGTTGGACAGGGGACCCTACTCCTTGTTAAGTACAACCACCCCCGTTGACCCAATGACATGTCTTATGATACAGCGGTAATGTGCTAACCATTCGGTCATCCAACCCCCGGGTGGTCACAGAAAAGGCATCCTCGGATTGCCCGCGCTATTGAATAGTGCTGGTTTGCGACGATAAATACAAAATGGCGCACCAAGCATCCTCGCATAACCCGTGCTATTTAATACTTACAACTGTGTAACATATATAAAATGTGGCTAGTATGGAGTGTTAAATAGTGTTGTTTTACGACGGTGAATATAAAATGGCTCACCAAGCATCCTCGCATGACCCGTGCCATTGCATACTAATTGTAACTGCGTAACATTTAAAATATGGCCAGTATATATGGAGCATTAAATAGTGCTGGTTTACGATGATGCATGTAAAATGTAAAATGGCACACAATTAATCTGCGTGAGAAAAACCTGGTGGCA